GAGCCGGTTTGAGTGTTGTCGGTTGCACGACAGGTTAACGGTACTTTTGGATTTGAGTGGGCAAGAAGTAGGTTCTGTTATCGGTGGCTCGTAGTCATGACAAGTGTCGATTGAGATAGTGGGTTTATGTGAACAGATGTCGGGGTTTGCCTTTGTTGGTGAGGGTCTGCGTTCGACATAGGTCGACACAATGTCGCGTGAAATGAGACCAGATTTTTGGTTTACCATATTTGTTTATATTCTTTGTTTTGTGTAGCCGTTAGAAAATTGATTGTCGCCATTAAGACTTCGATGTAGGTCAACTGTGTATCATGGGTACGGTGATGATATGGAGTCGATATTTGTGGTCCTTATCTAGTAAAATTGCGCAAATGTAATTCTGCTCTGGGGGTCCAGCATGCATTCCAGAATTTGGAGATTTTATATGTTATTTCTTAGACGCTTATGATGTGATGTGAATATGTAACTGGTCAGGTTTTGGTTTTGTCTCCAGGAAGATGAATGGTAGTCATTTTCACCCATGAGGCTGGCGTTGTTGAGGATGAAAGATGCGTGGTAATCTTGTGTGAGAGCATTACAGGTCGGTTGGAGGTAGTTTGTGTGAATCTGGTATGTGTGTTTGGTTTGTAAATGTTGATTAATTGGGAGTTGTTGGTGGTGTTGCAGGTATCAGATTGGATTGTGTGTTGGGTGGCTAAGGCGGTATAACGAGATTAGGTAGCCTCTATGTTTATCCAATCAGCAATTGCTGGGTTTATTTCTCTCACTTCTAGAATCCCCATTTCTGATGGCACCATCAGATCAAGGTTTAAGTCCTGTTGTTGAGGGTCTGTATTATCTGTCCTGTGGTGGAAGGCATATGATTGTGGCAGGGTTTAATGAACGTGAGTGGAATTGATTTCATATGGTGTATACTATTAGATGTTTTATGATGTGAGTAGGGTTGGATTTACACGTCTCTCTCGCCGTGGTGTTGTGGAGGGTGATGAGGAGGAATCTGTGTGTTTGTGTGGTGGATTGTGTTGGCTTAGTAGTGGCGGTTGGGAGTCGTCTATTTTTGGGGCGTGATATGTTAGAAGTTTTGGTTGGATGTAGGTCATTAAGTAAGATGGATGGTTGGGTTCAGATTATGTTCACCTGTGGCCGTGATGGGTTAAGCAGGATGGATGTAGTGGTATATGTAGTAGTTGATGTTGCGAGAATTGTGCTGAGCCTGGTCAATTTATTTGGGCTAGTATACATTGCCTCATAGTTGTGGTCATGCATGGGCTTGCCCTGCCCCAGTGGCCAGTTCGGATAGATGCAAGCAAGGATGTGTGGTAGCGGGGATTTCCGCGATGTGTTGGTATAGGGCTAGACTACATGTGTAGAGGAACTGCTGATACGAGCGTAAGTGTGCTGATCTGTGGTATACTATTAGCGTATATGCATATAGTTTATGGCAAATCGCTCATTTGGTAATTGTCAGTGTACCCTGAGTGCCACTACTCTATCGATTGTTGAGAATGTGTCGTTGCTAGTGATATTATAAACGAGCAGTGCACTCATGATACTTGTAGTTATATTTATTTATCATTATTCATAATTCTTTAAAGTCATTAGGACGCCAGAGGGCCTGGATCAGAACCGTCAGGCCTTCACTTCTGTTTTCATCCACCTCATCTTCTTGTATCGCTGTCTCTGATAAGGTCTCCGGGGTAGCATTTATCCTAGGGGTCTTAACACTGTATGATCATTCTCCACTGTTTTGAGATTGTTGTTGTCATCTGGGTATATCTTGTTTTAGGGGGTGTATTTATGGATGTTGGGCTGGTTACTTTATATGTATAGATTATTGTCAGGGGTTCGGTTAATTGTGGAGGTGACTTGTGACTGATCGGCATCGGTACGCTACTACATTTCTGTGTTAGTGTGTTATCAGGGAG